TGAGTGCCTGGGCAGAGACGGGCACACAGTAACCGCACAAAGAAGGCTGGTGGACACCCTTGAGCAGAACACAATGGTTAAAGGAACCAGCCACAAAGTCAGGCAGATCGAGATGCCAATACTAAACTAGCTGTCTGACCTGAGGCCAGTTAGAGTCTGTGTCTCGATTTCCTCATTTGTAAAAGGGAGGTAATGATAATGCTATGAAGTTTATTCAAAATGGTGGATGTTGGACTTTTAGAATGGTTTCGGGCATGTGGTGAGTGAATTGGAAATTGTAGCTATGGCCTTCATCATCACCATCACTATCACCACTATCATCGTCACCATCACCATCCCCACCACCACCACCATCAGCAGCATCACGATCACTACCACCACCACCACCATCATCGTCACCAACACCATCATTATCATTATCATCACCACGATCACCACCACCATTACCACCGCCATCATCGTCACCAACACCTTCATTATCATTACCATCACCACCACCATTGACACCACCACCACTGACACCACAGCTATTACCACCGCCATCACTACTGACCACCACCAGCAGCACCATTACCATCATTATCATAACCACCACCACCATCGCCATCCCCACCACCATTACCATCATAACCATCACCATCACCACCACCATTACCACCACCATCATGGTCACCAACACCATCATTACCATTATCATCACCACCATCACCACCACCATTGACACCACTACCACTGACACAACTATCACCACCGCCATCACTACCAACCACCACCACCAGCACCATTACCATCATTATCATAACCACCACCACCATCGCCATCCCCACTACCACCATCATCACCATCACCATTATCACCACCATCATGGTCACCAACACCATCATTATCATTATCATCACCACCATCACCACCACCATTGACACCACCACCACTGACACCACAACTATCACCACCGCCATCACTACCAACCACCACCACCAGCACCATTACCATCATTATCATAACCACCACCACCATCGCCATCCCCACCACCATTACCATCACCACCACCATCACCACCACCATCACCAACACCATCATTATCATCACCACTATCACCACCACAACCACCATTGACACCACCGTTGACACCACCACCATCATAATCACCACCACCACCACCATCACTATCATCATCACCACCATCACTACTACCACCACCATCACCATCATTACCATCATTATAATCACCATCACCACCATAGCCACTCCATGTGCTTGCCACTGTGTCCTGTAAGGAGTGCCATGTCAAGGGCCAGATGATGGGAGATGGATGGACTAGGGTCTTCCTGCTCTGGGAACCACAGCCTGCTGTCCCTGGTGGATGGCTGGGCATGAGAGAGGAAGTGTGGTGACACCCTCCCACATGACAGCAGTCCCTGGAGGTGAGGGGGACAGGGAAGGTGTGGCTTTCTTTGGGATAATGAACCCCATGTGCAGCACTTTTGGCTCTGCAGATGTGATGCTTGTTGCCATGGTGACTGTCCTAACAATAACCTCCCAGAACTGATATGCCCCACACCCTCCCCAGCTGCCACCTGGGAGGGAGAGCCCTCCTCGTTTACGAAAGCAAGCTTGAAAGGACAAGGTGGGAGGCAGAGATGACACGGGGGTGGGGGTGAAAGTGGGCCCTTCCTGAAGGTAGGGGTGAGAAGAGGGGGAAGTCTGGGCCTCTCTGACCAGAGCCAAAACCAGATGAGAGGGCTTCTGGAATCTGGGACCAGAGGTCATGGCTGGAAGACTTTCTCCCTTCTAGCCATTTCCCTCTGCTAGGGAGAAGCCCTCTGGGTCTGAGGGTGGGGAGTGGGTTGTTTTTTGAGTGTCTGTGTGGGGTCAGGCTGTCTGGGTAGGGACATTCTGGCTGCCTCTGATAGCCCAGTCCTTCCCCACTGTCTGGTGCCCAATCATGCCAACTTTCCTGTGCTCACCAGGGTAGCTCCACTTCATACCTCTAATACTTCAGCTCGGAGGAGGGACTGCCTGGGGGTCCCAGGTGCTAACAGGTACAAAAGACGGGGAGAAGTACAGGATACAATGAATCTCAAATTGCATCTCTTAGTGACCCCACATTCTTGTGTAACCCTGGTCCTGGGCAGCTTCTCAACTTTTGAAAGATGACCTCAGCCGGGTGCAGTGGCTCATGCCTGTAACCCCAGGACTTTGGGAGGCCGAGGTGGGTGGATCACCTGAGGTCAGGAGTTTGAGACCAGCCTGGCCCATATAGCAAAACCCCATCTCTACTAAAAATACAAAAATTAGGGTGGCGGGTGCCTGTAATCCCAGCTACTCGGGAGGCCGAGGCAGGAGAATTGCTTGAGCCCAGGAGATGGAGGTTGCAGTGAGCTGAGACTGTGCCACTGCACTCCAGCCTGGGCAACAGAGTGAGACTCCATGTCAAAAAACAAAACAAAAAACAAAAACCAAGAAAGATGACCTTATAAAAGACTACCGAGTGTGCTGCCGTGTCCACCACTCAGGGCTCCAGGAAGTCGTGTAAGTGTGGGTCTGTTTGTATGGATGTGTTTGTTGGTATGTGTGTGTTTGTGTGTGTGTGTGTGTGTGTGTGTGGAAGGCAAAGGAGGTTTTATGGGACACTGGGGTTTGAGTCATAGTCATTCCATGGCTGTGTGACTGTGGGTAAATTACTGTACCTCTCTGTCTCTCCATTATCCCATCTAGTAAAATGGGGATAATAATAGTACATGCTTAATAGGATTGTTTCAGAATTAAATGAGATAGTACATGTAAACTGCACAATCAGTGTCAGCTGTCATTAGGATGCCAGCACCACTTTATCATCTCCTGAACATGCCGGTAGGAGTGTGTGTGGTTTCATAGTAGCCTGGAAAGAGTCCAACTTACAGAGGGGTGCAATTTTCTTTTGTTTGTCTTGTTATTTGTATTCTTTTTCTTGAGACAGGGTCTTGCTCTGTCACCCAGGCTGGAGTGCAGTGGCTTGATCTCAGCTAACTGCAACCTCTACCTCCCAGGTAGAAACGATTCTCATTTGGGATTATAGGCAATGGGCCACCACACCCGGCTAATTTTTGTATTTTTAGTAGAGCCGGGGTTTCACCATGTTGGCCAGGCTGCTCTCAAACTCCTGACCTCAGGTGATCCACCCACCTTGGCCTCCCAAAGTGCTGGGATTACAGGTGTGAGCCACTGTGCTTGGCTTGTTATTTGTATTCTATTGTGTGGCCCTACCTCGTCTTTCCAGAGCTCAGAAAGGGAAAGTGCGGATGCTTCCAGCAGGTGCTGGAAGAAACTCCTGTGGGGTTAAACACAACGCCAAGAACAAACCTCACACTTGGCCTCCAGTCCTTTCTCGAGTCCATGCCAGTCTGTCTGTTAGGATGGCCCAGGGTTCTCTGAGTCCAAGTCTGACATGGATGGGGTCTCCCTTCCTGCTATGGTCCTGCTGAAGTCAAGGTCAGGATCCCTCTGCCTCCTCAGCTGGGGACTTCCCCAGGTGGCCCAGCATTTGCCTTTGGCCTGAGAGTTTCTTGTCCTCTAGTGTCTTCTGGGTGCAGGTGGGTCGATGGCAGGGACTTGTTGCCGTGTGGTCTACTAATTGCCCAGCAGTCCTATGCCAAATGCATCCTGGCCCAGAAGGGCCCTGGCTGCCGGCACTCAGAATCCCTTTATCCCCTCCCTTATCCACACAACATTTATTGTGGCTTCTGGGGCTTGCTCTGGGCTGGCCACGAGGTGAGAGGGATAAGCAGGATAGGCCCAGAATTGGTCCTTGGGGAGCAGTAAGGAGGTCATGTCAGGGCAGCAGCGTGACCCAAATCCAGAGCTGGCTGCTGGAAACCCCCTCCTCAGAGCCTGCCCAGGATAGACCCTGTCAGAGGAGAGTGTGGGGTTGCTGGAGCCCAGTGGTCTAAAGTCCTGGTTCTGGTGCTGGACAGCAGCCCTGGTGCCAGGCCTCAGGGAAGGCTGTTTTGTGGGAAACCGGGTCGGCCCTGCCTCCTGCCTGCTTCCCTGCACTCTCCTCCTCCTTGGCCTCCAGGACGGCTTTCAAGAGGGGGTTGGGGTGTGTGGGCTCTCTTCCTCTAGGCAAAAGCAGGGGGCAGACAGGTGGACCATGCTGGAAAAGGGGAGAATGTGTACCCTTACCTGAGCAGGGTGGTTATGAGCTCTCAGGCCCCCCAAATTGCTGATGGAGCAGCCCCTGTTTCCCTGGCTCAGGGTCCCTTGGCCTGGACTCCGAATGTCGCCTCCTGGGACCTCCATTCCAGACACCCCAGCAACCGTTCTCTGGAGAAGTGAGGGGGAAGGGAGGGGCTGGGACCAAGGTGAGGGAGCAGGCCCCACCCCTTCACTTTCTCATGCTAGTGTCCCAGTGTGTATGTCCGGCCTTCTGGGCGGCTCCTCCTGGCCAGGCAGCCTTTGTGACATGTGTGGCTGATGGAGACTGGGCAGGAGGGATCTGGCAGCATCTCTTCCTGAGGGTGTGAGGAATGAGTCCTGTGGAGGGCAGCACATGAGCCCTCGGCCTCCATGTGGGCCCCAGTCCCCTGCTGCTGTCAGGCTAGGTGGGCCTTCGAGGGAGAGAGGAGGCTGCGTTCATTATGTGCACTCTTCTGTGTTATGTGAGAGCGAGGGGTCGCCAGCAGCAAGTGGCCTGCTTGCGCGAGGTGCGGGCGTGGTGCGGGTACAGAATGAAGGCGTCAGTACAGGGCGCGGGTGTGTGTGCGGGGTGCGGGGGCGGGCGGAGGCGGGTGCGCGTGTGTGTGCAGGTGCAGGTGCAGGTGCGTTGCGGGTGCGGGCCACGGGTGTGTGTGCAGGGCGCGTGTGCAGATGCAGGGCGCGGGTTCCGTGCGGGTGCGGGTGCGGGTGCAGGAGCAGCGTGTGCAGGGCGCGGGGAAGGCGCGTGCAAGGGGCGGCGGGCGGGCGGGGCGGGCGCGGCGGCGGCGGCGGTGACAGCGGCGCCCGCGCCTCCCCGCGCGTAGGTGTGCGGCGCGCTCCTGGCGAGGACGGAGCGAGCAGATCTCGCGTGCGCTCGCCGCCAGGCGCAGCCCAGCCCGGCCCCCGCCTGGCGCCGCGAGCCGAGGTGTCTCCCGCGCCCGCGCCCGTGTCGCCGCCGTGCCCGCGAGCGGGAGCCGGAGTCGCCGCCGCCCGAGCGCAGCCGAGCGCACGCCGAGCCCGTCCGCCGCCGCCATGGCCACCACGGTGACCTGCACCCGCTTCACCGACGAGTACCAGCTCTACGAGGATATTGGCAAGTAAGAGCCGCCGCACGCGCGGGCTGGGCCGGGGACCCCAGAGGGCCAGGACCTCCGGGACCCTCAGCGCCGCCGGCTCCGGGCGCACTGCGGCCCCGCGCGCTGCCGGCTTCTCTGGGCTCCGGGCCCAAGCGCACGGCCCCGCGCGGCCCCGACCCCCGAGCCCCAGGCCCCGGGCCCGGTCGCCGGACCTCAGCGCGCGCGGCCCTCTCCAGCTCTGCCGGGCCGGGGCTCTGGGCTCGCGACTTGGCGCGGCGGGGGCGGCAGCAGGTGTCCCCGGAGCTCCCGGCAGACGTGACGCATTTGGCGGCGGGGAGGTCAGAGAGGAGGGGCGCGCGGGGGCGGCCGCCGGGCCTGGAGCGCCAGGAAGGGTCGGCTGCGGCCCCAGAGGGTCGTCCCCGACGCGGGCACGCTGTCCCCACCCCCACCCGAGCGGCAGGCGGCGGGGGTGGCGGGACCTGCTTGCGCCTGCTCCTGCGCGTGGCCCCATCCGCGCGGGGGGTGCCGGCGTGGGAGAGCCTCTGCTGTAGGTCTCCTGGGGAATCTGGGTTCTGGAGGATTTTCCCCCAGATTCTTCTGGAAACAGGAATTTGGAGGTGTGGGGAGGACGAGGTCAGGGAGCCTGGATCAGGTCATGGGGATAGGGGGGAGAGATTAAGATCCTGATTGGGTTGCAAATTTCAGGGTCATCGAGGTGGGTGGGGGCTGGATTTTGGACCGTTGGCGGGGGCACTCTAAAGGGGAAGGGGCTTTGAAGGTTTGTTTGAAGTGGGACCTCACGGGGAACAGGTGCTGTGGCTCCCGTTCTCTGCTCAGCAGTATGAGCAGTGTGAGGCGAAGGTCTGGTTTGGGGTCCCCCAGACCCGGCTTTGCCCCTGGGGTCAGAGATGGGGAACGCCTCAGGGGCCTCCTGTCTGGCCTGGGGTCTCCCGTCTGAGAATCAAGGTGGCTGCACCTGGCATCCCCAGGGCTAGCTTCAGAACTCCCGAATCTCCAGCCTGACTGGGCCAGAGCCCCATCCTCCTCCGTCCTCCCCCATCCTCCTCCGTCCCTTCAGTGCAGGCGGTGGGGGCGCTGGCGGTGCTGGCGAGATTTCCTCTTACACATCCAGCACTGATCCTTTTTTTCCTTTACTAAATAAGTGTCTGGTGAAACCTTGTGGTGGGTGAGGGACGCTGATCATTGATAATTGTGGAGTGCGGAGCTGGAGGAGTGTGGGGGTGTGTTCATTCCCCACTTCTCCCTGCACGTGTGGAGAGGATTTGGGTAGGGGTTGGAGATGTGGCGCTCAGCCCTGTGCAAGAAGCCCATGCTGGATCGGTGGGGTGAGGGGCCAGGCCGGCTGGGGGACCCTTCCTTGGATGGGTCTGGAGAGCACCCCAGAGCTGAGACCTCGAGGGAGGGGTGAGGCCCAGCCCCCTTCATGGGGATCCCTAAGTGGGTGGCTGGCTCCCCCGTCTTCACCCCTCAGATGCACAGATCTACCCCTGCCTGTCCTCTTGGCCTCCAGAGGTGTCCTGGCCGCTGGAAGGGCAGGTGGGTAGCAGTTAATGTGCCTGGTTCTCAGAGGAAGAGAGCAGCAGTGGGAAGTCAGTCTTTCCTCAGGGGCTTTCTTGTCGTCTTCTCTGCTTGTGCCCAGAAGCACAGAGGCCCTCACAGCAGGTGTCCCTGGTCTTCCCCAAAGAAGTCACTTTCAAGACGTTCCCATGTACCCCAGTGTCCTCAGCCTGCAGCTCACTCTGGCTGTTCCTTCTCCCCTTTGCTGCGAGCCTCCCTGCATCCAGTGGCAGTGTCAGGGTGGCCAGCTCCCCACTGAGCCTCCAGTTCCAGCACAGCTGGATGTCCTGGCCAGTGCCACCCACACTGGGGAGTGAAGGTCTTTGGGGCTGCCTGGGGGAGGTTGAGAGAGGTGGCTCCAGAGGTGGAGACCAGGTGGGGCTAAGACTGCTGGGCTTCTCTCTGAAGCCGGAGAATGAGCCGCTGCTGGAAGGGAGTGTGGCCTCCTGAGCGAAAGCACTGGGAGCCATGCAGTGCGAGGTGAGGAGTGGAGCCTGGCATCGAGGGGAGCCCCGTGACCTGGGACAAGAGGAGATGCCCAAGCCAGGAGCTGGCAGCTCAGCGCAGTGCACCTTTCTGGAGCCCTGCTAGGCGCCGGGTCCCTGGGGACGCCAAAGGCCTGCCACTGCCATGCTGTGGCGGCTCTGGGGTAGGGAAGGGACTGATTCCTAGGGGGTGCAGCCGTGCCATAGAGGTGGGTCAGGGAGCGGGGAGGGCAGAGCAGGGCACCCAAGGGGGATGTCTGAGGCCAGGGCTCAGTTGTGGGCACTCAGCCCTTTTGCAGCGCTGGGGTCCCTTGGTTGATACGTTGGCTGGTTGTTGACAGTGCCTGCCCGGGGCACAGTTGGTGTTGCTTCCTGGCCTCAGGTGGACATGTCCAAGTTTATTTAAAGCTGCAGCCACTGGCACCCAGTCAGGTCTCACTGAGCTCCCTGCCCAAAGGAAGGACTTGGCCTCAGGCCCACAGCTGCTCATGTGTGACGAGGCCACTGGCCTTTCCCCTCCCTTGCCCCATCCTTTTCTGCTGTCTCTTCTCCCGAATCTTCCCCGGAGGCCTGGGCAGCAGGGTCAGCCAGCCAAGAGGAGCCGCTTTCTGGGGCCCTGCCCTGCCCAGTTCTATAGGGAGTGTGTGCCCTTCCCTGCTCAGCCTGACACTTCTCACAGACACTAGCCTGGTGGCCCATGTGGGAGCAGTTACAGAGCAAGGCAGGGAAGCCCTCAGCCCAGCATGGCCCAGCCAACAGTGCAGTTTTAATTTTTTTATATTCGATAAACTTGAAAAATCCCAGGAATAATAAAATGAACATAGTATCTCTTCTACCCAGAATTGAAAATGGTTAATCTTTTGTCATTTTGGCTATAAGTCCTTTTTTACAAAAAATTATAAGAAGTATTCCAAAGAAATATTAAGTAACCCATTTTCTTCCAACTACTGCTTTCGTCTTTTTCCTCCCAGGCTCTTTTGGGTACATTTACACATGGATATAAGTATCCATAACTAATATAGAGGATTCTTTTGTGTGGGTGTTTTTCTTAACTTTACGTAAAAAACCTGGAACTTGTACTTTTCACTCAGCAGTCTTGTTGACACCTGTGCTTGTTGATGTGTTTAATTGCGGGCTCCTGCATGGCGACCTGTAGTGTGAACTCTGTCCTGCCTGCCCCTCTCCCAACGGAAATCTAGGTTGTCTCCTGTGTTCCACTGTCATCCAGCACACTGTGGCCAGCACCGTCACGGCCAGGGCCCTGAGTGCGTCTGGGGTGCAGGTGTGAGAGTTTCTTTAAGGTGTGTCCCTGGCAGTGGGGCTGCCGAGGAGGGTCCGCCTGTCTCTCTGTAGGTGCCGCCACTCTCCCTGCTGTGTCCACTCGCACAGCAGTGTGGGGGCCGCCCCTTCCCCTGGATGCTGCCATTCCTAGGGTTGGTAGGTTGTCAGTGTTGACAGGTTGTCAGTGTCGACCGTTTGTCAGGTAGGAAGAGGTCTCACGTTTTGCATTCATCCTCATGAATCTTCCATTTTTGGGGAGTTGTCTCTTTTCAAACATGGAGATCTCCCTAGAAAAAAGCATCTCCCATGAGGTTTTGGATATCATTTCAGGGGTTCATGGGCCCCTCCTTTTCTGGGGGAGATGGCAGCTAGGGCTTGTGGGCCATGTTGTAACAACACCTAATATGTACATTACTTTAAATGTTTGATTTTATTTGATTCGAATTGTCCAGAAAGGCCCTTCTCCCCAGCCCCATTTTACAGACAAAGAACTGAAGTTCAGGAAAGGCTGGCAACTTGCCCAAGCCCAGGAAGCGAGAAGGGCCCCTGAACTCCAGTCCAGGGCATCTCCTACCCCTTCCATCTCTCCCACTAAACCTTAGATAGGCCCAAAACTGACCTTGATATGTCCTTGACTCCATCCAGTGGTACCCCAGTCGCCAGAGAGCAGGCTGTATCCTGGGGCGTGTGTGGCCTGACTGCTGGCGGGGGCATCACTGTCAGCTGGCGGATGCCTTCTGCCGAGAGGCACACTGTGAACCAGCGAATGGCCTGCTAGGTAGTTAATAGATAAACTTAGGAAATTCAGAGCAAATCAATTTTTGAGTCTCCAAGCTCTGAGCCGGTTGCCGGGGAAGAGAGGAATGGAGGAGGAGGGATCATTGTATTTGCTTTCTCCCTCCCCAGAGCACACCAGGCACTCCCTGCCTCAGGGGCCTTGGCCAGGCTGCCTCTCTTCCCCTGATCCCTGATAGCTTACTCCCTTGCGCTGCTCAGCAGGCTGTCCCAGACGCCCCCCACCCCTCCCCTTTTGCCTCCCCACGCCTCCCTGCCCCTCCCCCCCAACTTGTCTTCTCCCTGGCACTTTGCTCCATCTGATGTGCTGGACAGCTTACTCAGAGAGGCGGAGGTCCAGTCCTCTGCCCATGGCTGTGTCCCCAGTGCCTGGCCCGAGGAGGGGAAGGGGTGAGTTGGGTGGGCCTCTGCCTTCCGGCCTGGCTCCCAGGAGGCCAGCAAGAGTCCTCCTGGTCTTGATTCCTTAATGTAGGGTAGTTTAAAAAGAAGTCGCACATGCTGAGATTGCTGGCAAGATGTGCATTAAGGTGATGCTAGTTTAGTTACTATTTAATGGTATTTTTATACCATAACCTACTTTGCTGAGAGCTAAGAATATATCTGCATGCTTGCTACCAGGACTCTTTTCTTTTCTGGTAACAGTTGCTAGCGCTTAAATGGTGCTTATTATATTAACGTGCTAGATCTGTGAAGTAGGTACTGTAATCATCCCAAGTTTACAGGAGAGGTAGCTGAGGCACAGAGAAGCCCCATTCCTCAGAAAAGGTCACACAGGGTCAGGATTTGAATCCACATTCTGCTCCTCTCGGAAGCTCATTACCCTACTCTACTCTGTGCTTCAAAAATGCTGTAACTCCACTGGCTGACTCATGGCCAGCTTGT